GATATCGTCCAAGCAACAAGGCGACGAGAGAAAGAGTTCGCGTAGATAGCGATTACAACAACAAAACAAAATTATAAAACAAACAATAACAAAATTATAAAAAATAAAATATTGATCTTTTTGCAAATTTCTCGATTTCAGCCAAATTCATAAAAGTCCAATATCATTATAACATGTTAGTTAGTTCCAAAACCATACTAAATAATACGAGGGTCTGTAAATGCCCGTTTCTGCCGAAAAGTGGCGCCGAGTAGCTGGTAGCCAACGTCCAGAATGGTTCGGAGTGCTAAGGGTTAATAATAATTGAAAGGAAGTACAGCATACCTGTACGTCTTTCGTGAAATAGTTGTTCGTGTGCAGGTGTATGGCAGTGAAGTTACGCGAATAATCGAATTCGAAGGTGATCTCTACAGGTCGTCCGAGCATGTTGGGCGTGTCGTTTCTCCAACCGACCCATTCGTACCCTAGAACAGAAAGAAAACGGTGGATTATTTCTAAATTGTTCTTGCTTGCACGACATACGAATCTGCAAAATATTCCATGCTATCGGTTCAGAGTAAACTTCGAGATTATCCTCTATCACGTGTCAATGCCAACTGACAAGGAGGTTTATTGGATTCCCACCAATTTTGATGAAATTCTGTATACGTGCAAAGTACACGAAAACAATTTGCATGCATTTCCTTCGCCGGTCGATACACGAGTTCGAGAAGAGGAATGCTACTCCGGAGTTGGGTGCTCGAAAACTATCAAATTGGATATCTGGAAAACGAAAGGAGTTATGTATGCTCAATATTCTCTTGCTTTCGGTAATTTTACCAATTTGTTGATGCTCTCATTTTGAGATACTTCGCTACTCGGTTATTTCCGGACGATTATTCGGAATGGTTCTGCATGGAAAACGCAAACAAGTTGTCTACTGTATCATTTAAAAAGATCACAATTTAACTTGAATTATTATACTCTAATATTATAATATAAATAATATTAAAATATAATATATAACTATTACTAATATTACTTGAGTATTAGTCATAACTGAATATTTGTCAGAAGCTTCGATTCGAAATATTTCACAATATCATTATTATATTACAAATTATTATCATTATATTATTATTGTATAATTATAGTAATATTATAAATATGATATATTATATTTACATTTTTCAAATTCTGCTTCGATTAAAATTTCATGAACTTTCGAAGTATGACTGCGAACGTGTTTTAAAACGTTCCGCGGCTTACGTTCGAAATAAATTCACGTTCCGAGTTACGTTTCAAATATTCTCCTAATACCGAATGAATGTTGTAACAGAATCATTTCCAGATATTCCGTTGTTTGCAAACAATAAGCCTTCGGAGTGAACGGGCCGGCAGATAGTTTCGCAACTGGAATTTCGGGCAAATCGTTCGAGCATTTCATTCGCAGGCGGGGGAGTGTTTCTGTTGGCAGTTGGCGGATCTGAAAAATGACATTTTACATTGTCGGATCCGATTACTCCATCGACACGCGCCGGCCGTCCGATAAAGGGGACAATAAAATCTGCAACATAAATAATCCACGTGGTCCGCGCGTGACGCGAAATTTGTTTGCGCGTGGCACGAACAGCGCGGGAAGCGTTCGCATCAAACGAACAAATTGTTTCAACAGGGTCGCATTTGTTGCAAATTGCGCGGGGCTCTTTTAGCAGAAAGTTCCGGCGCGCAACCTATTTTCGCCCGAACGACAGCTGGTCTTTGAATGTTACCTTAATTAATTGCCAGCTGAATGCGAAATAGTAGGCGTTTCGCGCAATCTGTGACTGCATTGAATTCCGGAGCTTTCTCTACAAATGAAGGAAAAAATAGAAGTCATCTATTCCGGCATTCTCCTGGTTCTGTTTCCCTCATCTCTATTTCTATTTCTCTCTCTCTCTCTCCCTCTCTCTATTGCTATTTCTCTCTCTCTCTCTCCCTCTCTCTATTGCTATTTCTCTCTCTCTCTCTTTCTCTCTCTCTCTCTGTATTGCTATTTCTCTCTCGTTCTCTCCCTCCCTCTCTCTCTCTCTGTCTCTCTCTCTGTATTGCTATTTCTCTCTCGTTGTCTCTCTCTCTTTCTGTATTGCTATTTCTCCCCCTCTCTCTCACTATTGCTATTTGTCTCTCGTTCTCTCTCTCTATGTATTCCTATTTCTCTCTCTCCCTCACTATTGCTATTTCTCTCTCTCTCTCTTGCTATTTCTCTCTTTCTCTCTCTCTTTCTGTATTGCTATTTCTCTCTCGTTCTCTCTCTCTCTCTCTCTCTCTCTCTCTCTGTATTGCTATTTCTCTCTCGTTCTCTCTCTCTCTCTCTCTCTCTCTCTCTCTCTCTCTCTCACTGAAGATTCTCGCAAACTGCATAACTGTATTTGTAATGAATATATTACCGAGAGACGGTCAGGGTAAGTTTCTCGAGTCTCAGCTACGGGCGCACAATCAGAACAATATTCTCTCGATGTACGTTGATTTGATGCGCGTCGGGTGCCAGTACTCAATTTTAAGACAAATTAACCAACAGGTGAAATGTATCTGAATATGTGCAACCACTGGATTACACAATGTTATTCCCATTGAGCATAATAATTATCTCAAGACAGTTTTGTATTATGACAAAGAATTGACCCCTTTTTTCTTACAACATTTATGAAACATAATAGAATTTAAAGAACTGCTACCATAAAAATGTTTAATTGTACTAATTCGGACAATACTTTACACGATCGAAGAAGCAGAACAAATTTTTATTAATATTGTGTTACGTTTTCAGAAAATGTGACTATTTCATTTAACAAAAAATAGTAAATGAAACTTACCGATAGTTCTTTCACTACGCCGTGATTGCAATAAAAGTTCTCTGTCACTATCGTTATCACAATAAATTATACGTTCCACCATTTTATCAACTTTTTATCGATACACAACAAATTTACTGATACAAAACTGATTATAAAAATGTACAATACATACAGTAATTTTTCCCGGAAATGCCAAATTTCGAGTTACTGTGAATTTCCCTGTGGTAGTCCTATGCATGTGTAATTTATTGCTACGTCGATGCTAAGAGTCGGCCGAACGTGTGATGCGGCACGCGACGCGAATTCCTGGAAGACAATGACATAATGGTGTTTTGGTGCAAATCAGTACGTGGTAGGTACTAGGTATCTGGCCTCGGAATTGCCTTCGAATCGTGGCACGTGGCCTCCGAATTGCCTTCGAATCGTGTCACGTGCCCTCCGAATTGTTTTCGAATCGTGGCATGTGGCCTCCGAATTGCCTCCGAATCGCGGCATATGGCCTCCGAATTGCCTTCGAATCGTGTCACGTGCCCTCCGAATTGTTTTCGAATCGTGGCATGTGGCCTCCGAATTGCCTACGAATCGTGGCATATGGCCTCCGAATTGCCTTCGAATCGTGTCACGTGCCCTCCGAATTGTTTTCGAATCGTGGCATGTGGCCTCCGAATTGCCTACGAATCGTGGCATATGGCCTCCGAATTGCCTTCGAATCGTGTCACGTGCCCTCCGAATTGTTTTCGAATCGTGGCATGTGGCCTCCGAATTGCCTTCGAATCGTGGCAAAAAATTACAAATAGAAAGGTTATTAAGTCATCGTCTTTATTCTAGTAACTCATATTAATGTACACCGGCATGCTGACCGCTGCTCTTTTTAACCACTGCTCCGAGTTTCTATAAAAACGCGCCGCGATGCACGAAGAATCGCGACTTAGATCTGTCGGTTTCAACTCCGACCTCCAAACATTTCTGGGAGAGAGAGGTGTAAACACAATTAGGCGAGAAAAACAATTTCCCAATATTTCTTTATAAAAAGCACGGTCGACGCGATGATAAATTTTACAAAATATTTAGAACGCGAATTTCACGCTGCCCGCGGTTGGATGGTTAATAGTTTCGCAGTAATTGTATTTTTAGTAACAAACACGGTATTTTCTTCTCCAAAAATTGTGTCAGTAGATTGATTTTCAATTGCGATGTTTCAATAAGATCAAACGCTATTTTAATTACAGCCAACTGTAACCACAGTAAAAGATCGTTTCAACCGATTCATTTCACTGACAGACGGGATATTGATAAAGTAAAGCTTCTGACTACTCGAAGCACACTGGTTTAACATTTAATATAGAATGTCTGGGTAGTTGGACGTGCGAGTTTGTACCTCTTACGAGATCGATGAATATTATAGCCTTCTGTTTGGTTCGAACTGTCGACATGTTAGTAGCGTGCAGTTTCTGGATGGTTAGAAATTCAAGTCGCTGACTCCATCCAGCGTCACGGAGTGTTGTAACTTTACGATAGTATGGTAAAAGTTTAATCACCCAAGGTAACTGGAGGTGCTACAATGCCTCTAAAATATGAATCACTGTCAGTTCAATAAAATAAGATAGAGTTACTATGCAGCAGAGTAAGCATCGAACAACGAAATCCTAGTAACACCAACAAAGAATTCGTTTCATTGTTTTTATTTAAACGTTGCATTCAATCACTACGGCACACTCATCATTAATCCCTAGATTTGTCGGCGACCCCGCAAAATTCTTAATTTCTCTGCAAACGTGTCAATAAATAATTAAATATTAAGGTTTTCCGTATCCTTCTAACCCATGCCGTACTTTATGAAGAAATAAAAAGAACTTTCTTTTATAAATTTGGTATTGAGTTCTTGTTCTTTTTTATATTTTAGAAATAATAAATAATATTTTAATTATCAAGTTAAATAATAATTATTATAATTATAATTAATAGTAGTTAAATTAATTAAATTTAAATATTAAAAATTCAATTTTATTTAAAAAGATATTTAATAAAATATAATTATTAATTATTATAATAAATAATAATACTAACTTAATTATCATAATAAATAATATTTTAATTATCAAGATTCTATTTTGGGTCGCCGGCCACCCCACGATGTTACTTATGCCGTGAAACAGAGGGAGGTCGTTTTATGATTAAATCGTGCACACGTGTCGCGTCGAAATAAAAAAAAGAACGGAGGTCGATTAAAAATTAATAAAGCACCGTTTTACCCTCGACAAATTTGTAAATAAATGAAACAAATTTTTCTGCGAATTCCCCGGAAGAATTCTGAATTCACGGCGATCGTCATTAGGTATTCATTAAATTGCGAATATTTCTGCATTTATATCGCGAATCATAAAAAGGCAATAAAATATAAAGGTAAATTAAATGCAATGCTGCCTGCGTTTTAATGCTTCAACGCGGGAAATCAATTTTCATTCGACTTTCATATTTGTGAATCGCATCGGGCACTAACCGACATTCGAGTAAAATCTCGAAAATCTCGATGATCGGCGAAAAAACTGTTGGCGAATTGCATGGGGCACGTTTATATTTGCGCTACGCTGGAGGTAAAAGCTGCACGTGAACGATCCGTTAAAAGTGTTTATTGAAACATGAATAAT